AAGTTTGTTCAAACCATGACCCCCGGGGGTAGGGCAGAGCCACAATGGAGGATCAAAGTTTTACATAGAAATATAAAGGAAAATATCTTCTTCTGAAGAACAGAAAAGCTATGTTTAGTCATATTGATATGGAAGCATCCTGAGGTAGTGTAGATTCAATTTTGTTCAAATGATGACCCCCAGGGATAGGATGGGGCCCAATGGGGGATGGAAAGTTTTACATAAGAACATATAGAAAAAATATTTCTTCTCAAGAACAGAAAAGCTATGTTTAGTCATATTGATATGGAAGCATCCTCAGGTAGTGTAGATTCAAGTTTGTTCAAATGATGACCCCTGGGATAGGGAGGAGCCACAATGAGGGATCAAATTTTTACAAAGGAATATATGGGAATTTTTTTTAAAAAATCTTCTCAAGTACAACATAGCCTTTTGTTATATTGACATGGAAGCGTCATCATGTAGTTTAAAATTCAAGCCCCCCCCCCCCCCCCCCCCCCCGGTCTTTTCAATACTGAACTGATTGTGCTTTTGCCTAGCCAATGTGCTCAGGTGAGCGATGTGGCCCATGGGCCTCTTGTTAGTTATATGGCCTTTCATTCCATTTTCAATAGTAAAGAATGTTGCTTTATATCAATATGTTTTATTGTTTAAATACTTTAATATAAGTTAGTACTACTCAATACTTGTTTAAATAAATAAAAAAGTACATGTGTCATTGGAAAAAACGTGTATATATGGTCACATTAATTATTTCTACTCCCCAATTTCTATTGAATCAGCTTCTAGTAGCCATGTAGGTACTGTTGGCAGAGTCTTACTTAATATTTAGCATCAATGCTAAATGTGCCATAATCTGCACATGTATACAAACGCTAATCGAATCATTCGAAGCGAGATCTTATTAACGATTGTGTAATTTTGAAAGTGATTTTATAAATGTCATCAAATCACATAGAATGCGTTTTGAGCACAAAATACTGTGCATAAAAAAAATCCGATGTCATGTCTATAAATACATAAAACCTTGTTACGACTGTATTCTAATAGTAAAAGAAATATATTTGCCGACAAAGAAAAAATTATCCTAAACTTGTAAAATTATTTCCACTAATAAATACGTATCAAAACCATGTAAGAGAAGCGAGAGTCTCATGTGTACCTATAGACCTACAATTAACCTTCCCGCAAGCCATTGACAACAGGTCGCAGGTGATCATCTTTTAAAAACAAACAGCCAGATCCGTGTTTTTACAACAATTAACACCCAGATCAAGAAATCTGAGCAGACTTGACAGACCAGTTAAACAATTATCGTCCGGATAAATGAACCAAAATATAACGAAAAAATTCATTTTGTGGTGAAAAAGGACCGTCCGGATACGGAACGCGGAATTCCGGTTAACAGAGACAAAATAACGTTAAAAAAATTTCGTTCCCATGAAAAATCATCCGGAAACTGAAGCGTCTGGATCTCTGAAGGTCCACTGTACTTGGTTGCTCAGAGTTTTAATTATGTATTTCATAGAACAAAAATGATAGAAAATTATTATTTTCTTTTATCATGAATGGCTATACTAGTCCCTGTTTTTATTTCCAGTTATAGGCACGAACAATAATTTCATACAATTCACTTGATTAGTTTTCACAAGTTTATCTAATTGATGGCTTTGATTGTGAAATGATATAATAATATAAATTTTTGAAGAAATAGCTAGACAAGTTCAGTCAGCTCTGGAGGATTAAACAATATTATGCCACATACCTTAATTGGACTTCAAATTAAGCTTGCATTTTTCAAGCATTTTTTTTTTTATAACAAGCAAATTTTTAATGATGATCGAAGAGTGAAAAAAAAATTGAATTTCGTAACATTTCTATAGTAATCTATTTTAGACTTTGATCTAGCAATTATGATTTTATACTTTTTGTGAAAATTTAATGCAATAAATAGTATGTTTGTATCTATATGCAAATATTAAGATTGATATTATAACAATTGAAAGTGTTATAAAAGATAATAAAAAAATATTAACGTTTAGTTCTAAAAACAATACATATATGTTGCTGTTACCAGCAAAGCTGTAAAGAGTTCTAAAAGAAAAACCATACCAGGTTCGGTACTTGATCAGAAAAAATAAGCAATTAATGGATTACTAAAAACCTTCTGATTTGTAAATACTAATAATATGTTTGTTGAAGACAAAAATTTGATGATGAAAATTAAAAGATCTGTTGATTAACCTTTTTATTAATTCAGATACACAAAAGTTTGAAATACGTTGTGTTCTCACATGAATATAGGAAAAATCAGATATTTATAATCAGCCCAATGCATAATGTGTCCTTACTAGATCACTTCTGGATGTAATATATATAGCTACGCAGTATAGTGTACACTGAGGCAATTATTATAACATAGGCAAGAAACATATCCTTCCACATAACTAATTATGTGACAAGAGTTCAATTAATCTCGTTAGGTTCACTAGTCATGTGGACAACTCTATTAGTTCACAACCGATTAGTTATATACAGTACATTTTTATTGTGCCTCCTGTGTATCTGCCAATCCATTTTGCCAAAAGGATCAATCATTTCCACATTGCAAACCTGATTATACATTTGCGTTTTTCATTTTAACGTTTTACGTGAACTGACCCACTCGCATAGGTAAAGAGAAAGATAAAAAAAAATTTAAAACGCATTTGGTGGTTTTATAATTAATTAGAACAGGTATGGAAGTTTCTAATTGAAGCGATGCTTATTATGAAATATGGCTTACGTTACGAAATGGAATTTAGATGTCTCATTAATTTTGAAGACAAAAGATATAGTATTTATGTTGAATTTTAAAAATATAGTGCTGAATACATGTATATTAATGTGGCTCAAGAGATTAATTGATTAAGGGTCTTCTTTCCTCATCTTGTGGTAGATGACTTTGATATATATGGGATTTGAACAAATGAGATAAAAAAAAATACACGACAAATTCTGTGAGTTGCTGTTGATAAATAAGGATTTGTCAAAATTTTAAATTTAAACAATGAAAACAGGTTGACTTTTCACATATTTTGTCTTAGGGGAAAAAAATTTGTTACAGTAATAAAATTTCGTAAAAGAGCAAAATAATTACCGGTATTATTTGAACAAAAAAAAGCAACCAATTATTTTGATAATTACTAATCAATGAAATAAAATGTGTTTTAGTTATCTTGTGCAATTCTGAACAGGAGAAAAGGAAATAAAGTCAATATGTATTTTTTTTTTAATTAAATCATTTATTCTTCCTTGCCAAGGTGAAGGACAAGCATTCACCTATGTGGATGTTGTTTTGGTGTTCTTGGAGTTGTAAACAGACTTTGTAACACAATAGAGTTTTCTGGTTCAATTAAGTGTCATGATTACCATATTGTATGAATTATATTTAGGGGAAAGAGGTTAATGATTAATACAAGGATTTCGTTTTGTTTTTTTTTTTTTTCAGATAAAAAGTTTTTAAAATTCTACCAGATTTGATTGTTACTAAATTCTTTATAAAGACCTAAAATTGAATGCATGGTTTTTATTCTGGATATACATGAAATTTATCTCTATAACCATGATAACATAATTTAGGGATTTCACTGTCAATTAAGACTCCCTACTAATGGTATTGGTTCATTTAAATGATGACTAAGTATCCCCCCCTCCCCTGCTTTACATATGCACACATATTTTATAGTGTCAACCCTTACTTTTTCAAAACCTTGAGTCAATAGCTACCAAATGATCAGCAAATGATCAGTCAGTCCTTAGGAAATTGTCCACATGTTAGAGTTTCTCATGTTAGTTCCTCTATGAAGGGTGATGGTAAGGTCATTGTACACTGTAGAACTGTCCAGGTCTGTGGCTTGTACTGACAGTAAAAGGTTAGAGGATAGACAATGTTTAGTCAGCTGTTATAGGCAAAACAGCTTCCATGAAAAGTGACCTGTGTTTGAGTTAGCAGGAAATTAAATATTTATTTGGAAAAGTTTGTTAGGAACATTATACTGGAGATCATTTGTCAGCCAAGTTTTCCCAGTTTAGGGAGTGCATGGTTTTAGTTTTTTACTTTGTGGGTGGGTGGGGGGGGGGGGGGGGGGTATCAATGATATGTGCAACACAAATCAAGTTTGTATAAGTTGAGGTTTACAGCTATTGAAATATTGTTAAGGAATGGCTGCCTTGCCTACTTATTCTTAGGAGGGTATATTTTCTCCTCTTTCAAAAGATCTCATCAAAGCTGGCTTAGAGTACATGAAAATGAAGTTCATATTTTCTTTATGAGAAGTTGAAGATACTAGGTTACAGACAATTACACCTATAAGAGCAAGTATATATCTGATATCATCTGTCTTGGTCAGAGTTCATGGTTCATTGAGCGAAAGCCTCCAGTGATGACCCCATATTTCTTAGTACTGGTCCCCAAATGATATTTACAGACCATTTCTACACATAAAGAGGGGAAAAAAAAGCAGAAAAAATATCCTTGTTTAGTTTTATATATGTACTGCCTGTGGTCATCAAACTGCCGTACTATGAACTAGAGTTCTCCAGGTTTTTTGTGGAAACTAGCTGCAAATGGTTGGGCCCATTTTCACTGTATTATGTTGCTTGAAAGGAAATGTCACTTTATGCAAATGAAGACTTTTGTAATATGCCTTAATTAATTAATGAGTTATTATTGTGACAGACCTAATGAATTGCATGTCCTCATATATAATTCATTCTATTTATAGCCAAACTTCTACATGCAGTGTCAAAGTTTTAAATTCTCTAAATTTTTAACATCATAGTGAATTTTCTTACAAATTGTGCAACAATGAATCACAAACATCTTTACTTTTTTATCATACGATAAACAACTTTTCACACAATGTTTCGGTCAGGGTAATGTTTGTTTGAATTTGAAGGGGAAGGCCACAAAATAAATCTGACCGAGATTTAAACCTTTGCTAATTATATTTTTACAGGCCAAAGAGGGGCGATGGACCAAGACCAGCCTCTATTGTCCACTGGATCTGTTCTCAGGGTAAGTGCCAGGGCCGATTATCTTTTTTCTTTTTGGTAACAAAGGCTGTGGGTTGTCACCAGGATCCAACATGCGAGCCGTCAGCCCAACAATGGTCCGCGAGACGACAGCTGGTGGGCCTTCGACAATGATGTCGCAAACTCACCGTTGACGGGATTTCCTTGTCCTGGCACAAATTGACAGTCGAGTGATAAATCAATCAATGGCCCTCTTTGTTAGAGTTTCCCAACATTATGAGACTGCGTTATTGCACGTGTGGTACGGCACTTGGGACTAGAAAGTAATTTTCAGGGGGCATGGCTCATTTTGAATTCATTACGGTTATTCTTCGGGAAGGCTAGGGTACCTGAATATTGGGTTTGTTTGGACGAATGATAAGGGTCAGGTGTATGGTAATTGCTTAGTGACAGATGGTGTTTATGTGAAATACCAGAATCATTTTACAGAAGTAACATTTCTTATCAATGAAAACAGATATACCTTAAAATGTAGAAATTATAATTAGGGGAATCTAATGGGATGCTCATCATACTGAAAGTCAATTCTGATGTGTGCATGAAGTTTGAACAAAACTTTCCTGCAACGATGTTATTTAGACTAGATGTATTTTAGAAAGTAAAAAAAATGTAATAACATGGATTAAATGTGTCATCTACTTAAGTAGACCAAAAACAGATCTTATTTACGTGACCCTGTTTAGATAATCACCTCCTCGGGGCCCCTAAAAATTACATCTGTTATGCAAATACGAAAGGCCTTTTTTAATAATGAACTTTCTAGAAGTACTTTTGCAATACAAAAACAGAATAAAACTAAGGGAGGTCTTCATTTATGTCATGTGAAAGTGATTTTTTTTTTTGCAGTAAATTATTTGATAGGCTACCTTTTCTCTTCATTAGCTACATGTATAACCATTATTAATTCATTAAGGGGTATATGTTATTTCATGAATGAATAATTAAGCACCTGCAGTTAGGTTTTAATTTCATATTATCATGTTTTTCCCACTAGTGGCCTAAGGTTTTAGAATGATTCTATTCTGAGTCATAATGGAAGTCTAGAATATCCAATAGATAAAAGCTTGTGATTTAATATTGATACTAGACATGATAATTGATGCAGGTTCATATTTGATCAAAATTGTATATCATTAAATTGTTTTTTGGTGTCTGGTTCATTATATTCATGTATATGTACTTAATTCACGTTGTACCTTTTATTTGTTAAATTTCTGAAAGTATACGAAATTAAAATTCTCATGTCTACGTAAATATATTAATATAGAAACTCTCAATGCAGTTAAGTAAATTTAAAGTCTGATTCAAATTAGTTTCTGGAGCCATGAAGTCTGTATGATGTATTAACTATTACTTCATATTTATGTAGTATTAACTGGGCTATACATCAGTTTGTAGTATTAAATGCATAGCCAGGACCACTCAATACCTACTAAGATAGATATGACTGCCAGGGCAGACCATACGTCCAGTTTGTATTGCCATCAAATCTTGATGCATCTGTACATAAAACGTAGCTGACTGTACCTCTAAATATCACATGACCCCCCTGGACATGACCTGGACAAGAGTTACAGGCCCCTGAGTGCATTTTGTGTATTGGCCACCTTGAAACTTACATAAAATGGGCCCTAAGCTTACGTTTCGGCAAGTGTTGCATATAAAGGTAGCCAGGTGCAGATTAGTACAGGTGTCGTTTGAGGTAACACAAGAAGTCTTGCTGTTGGTGTAACATGGATTAATTGGGTGCTTGGTTGTTTAGGTCAACACCATATTCGGTTCCAATTTTCTGTGGCTCAGTGCCGTTTCCAGTATAAATAGTTGGTTTGTTAATTACTATCTATAAGTTCTATTCTGATTGGATGATGTCAACAATGTGTATTGACTGATCCACCAGAGAGGGCTTAATGAAACCTTGTTACAATTTGCTCCATTAAGGGGTTGATTTATACAGATGGGGAAACTGACGTCAGAAATTGACACCAGATCAATATGTTCCTGTGGTATAATATAGATCTGAGAAATCAGCTGATCTAAGCATTGATGAATATTGATTTGTTAAGGTTATATTATCTCTTAGGGTCCATTATATTCCAAGGGCAGGAAGTGGTGTTTACCCATTATCAGATATAGAGTGGTTAGTTGATATGTAAATGTAGCCATATATAAGGCTGTTAAGACATTGTGTTAATGAACTGGTAGATTTATGTCAGGCAGAAGGGGCATTGAATTTTAATATTTATACTTGCTCTTGGGAGGAGAGAGTATATATATTTTTTGAGTAGGTGTAATAATTTGGCCATTATTGTAATATTTTTGAAATCTTGATTAACCTTAGACATGACTTTTACAAACTAGGAATGGGACAAGTTCAATCTTAACATTGTGATTGACCCATTTTTTTTTATTTCTTGGTAAATTAACTTGCCATGGACAGGATAAAAATATAATTCATAAATAATTTTGTGCGTGAGCCCAATGATCAGAGTGGTTGGACTGTGCAGTATATAAATGTATAAGACAAATCGAGTGGTGGATCTAGAAATATGGGTGTTGGTCAAAGTCCATAATTTATTAGTGTGTTGGGGGGGGTCCACCTCTACCACTTTTCTCATCTCACTAAAAAAAACCCACAGTGTTAGAAAATATGTAATCGGTGAGAATCTTAAAATGGAACCACTATTTACTGAAATTTTATTACCATGATATTCTCTGTAATATGTACAAATTGAGACTTTGGCAAAAGTGTTGGTCTCAGGGGATCTCCTCCTTCCCTTTTCTAAATCAATCAGAAGACTGTTAATTATAACCTCACCTACCCCACTCCACACCCCCCACACCCCAATCCTCTTCAGTTGGTTGATATGCTAGAACAGTGATGTCTGATGTCATGCAGAGCAGCATAATTCAACACTCATAATACTCCTATTTTCACATTTCATGTAAATTGTTCAATAATTAAAAGGATATGTTTTAATAAGAGGATTACTTGGCTATTTGCTCCAAACTTGGAAATGAGGTCATGTTTATTGCCAGTTGGAGTGAAAATCAGATTTTAATAACATAATCTCTTGTTTTGAAGGATTTAAAAAATGTCATCAGGATTATACTGATATACAATAAACTACTTTGTGGTGATTTAATATAATGTGGACTGTGACACAATGTTGCAGCATTTTGTTTGTACAGATACATTATCTACAAACAGACTTGTTTGGACTTTAGGGAAGATGCATACAGAAAATCGCTGAACAAGCACCTAAAGCCTGATCAAGCTGTAATTAAATGCTTTGCAGATGTTTTTTCCTCTCTCTCTCTCTCTCTAAAATTTTGGTACAGTAACTTAATGTATTTCCACTCAACATTTAAATATGCATTCTCTCAAGTATGACACTGGGACCCTCTTTAATTTCACACTTCATTCTTTGTTCCTTTGTTCAGGCTGTGGGAAAAATCACATTTTCTCCCCCACTTGGGGGCCTCCCATTATCTGGGGCATGTTTTCACTGTGCCCTTTCAAGCATGTCAACAGCTGTTGGCTGATTTTCCAGTTTCAGTGTGTTCTAAAAATAACTGTTTGCGGCTCTGTTGTTGAGGCACTTGCTGTTTAAGGGATCAATTTAATTTTCTAGAGAGAAAAAAATATTTGGAAAAGAAAGGGGTTAATATGAGAGAGAGAGAGAAAGACTATATAAATTTAAAAAAAAATAAAAGTGCTTAGGAAAAGGATAGATAAGCATATGTTCTTTGTTTGTATCCTTAGGAATTTAAGTTAATTGGTTCAGTTAGTTTATCTGCTTAAATCTTATGAATGCAGACGCACAAAAAAAAATTATTGAGATGTACGTGAGAAAACAGTGGGAAAACTAATATGGGGTAGGCATGTTATAAAAGCTTATAAGAATTAGGCTCAAAGTTAGACAGTAATCATATGTGATGAACATATTCCTTAGAAGAACAGTACCTGCATCAACACAGTTCATGGGACATGTTTAATGTTATTAAAAGATTATTTAGGAATAGAAAAAGCGCAGATTTGTCAATTCATGTATAATCCTAATTCCAGAATGCTGAGCTGAGCTGAGCTCTAGCAGCTAACTTGTTATCAAACTCGTTTATTTGAATTCTGTTTAATTAACATCAAGAAGTTTTGGGAAACTGAAGTAAATTACCTCATTAGAAATCTTCCTTTGGTATGCGTTTTGTAGACAATTACATCCGTCAAGCTGCTCTTAATGGGCCCGTTAATGAATGCTTGCTTTTGACGTCAGCCTAATTATATGTTAATTTGGCCTCAAATTATTATTGTGCATTGTAATTCAATGCGAAAACAGCAGTGCCTGACTTTCAGCACAAAAGGAAGTTGGGCAGACATTTTGAAGTTGCCCTAGCTTCAAATTTAATGGTGAACCTTGACAAAGCTTTGACAGTTTGGGGTCTCTCTTTTTTCCCTGAAATTAGCAACTTAAATTTTGTTTCACGTTCACGTCCAGTCATAAATTTATTCTAGGCATTATTGATATATGGATATGATTGAAATGATATTACACTAATTATCACACATGGAATGCATTTTTATGATTTTCCTTGATTTAATTAGATAAAAAGGCTTGAAATGTATTATGGACTTCCTTAAAATTTTATGGTATTTTTACACTGGTGCATGACATATGAATTGATATACAAGATTCTATTTGGTTGGTTATTAAGAGTGCTACATGTACACACTGTTAGAAATATTTTTGTACTATTATGTAGTGATTTTAAGCTTAGTGCAAGAGAACCTCTGAAAAGAAAAAAAGATACTTGTTTGAAGTGAGGGGTAAAGGAGTTTGAAGAAGAAGAAAAATAAAATAAATGGAAACAATTGAGTTAATTGCCTGTTTATTGATTATTATAATAACTACATTGTAGGTTAGTCGCATATCATCGTTTGGCATCTCTTTCTTGCAGAGAACCATTAAATACCCCTGAGCTTGGTTATTAGCTGTCCATGCCCTTTTTTCCTTATTTTTAAAAGAATTATTTGGTTGTTGTTTTGTAAAACGTGCCTATCTGTGCACGTGAAATCTACCAGCAGTTAGAGTGTAGTGTGAAAACTTGTGTGAACAAGCCAGGTCGCTAGTACTGTTCTGTTATCTAGAAAGATGTTCTATGATTATATTTGATTTCTGATTTCAGACATGACATTGCACACTGATTTCATGTTACTTACACATACTATATAGAATGGTGTCATGTGGCTTGAATGATTTTTTAAGACTCAATCTTTTAAATTAACTTATTAAATAGTCCTTTAATTTGCTACTTGTTCATTAGCAGGAATTAATTTCTTCACTTGGAGGTGAACTTCTTATGTAGCCTTTATACTGTATAAAATGAATGAAGAAAATTTTGTACATAGCTTTCTTGAGCTAAACATTTGTTTAACACCTCTCTCTCTCTCTCTCTCTCTCTCTCTCTCCCCTAGATTTTTTCACTATGTTGCTATTGATAGTGACTATTATGTTACAATATTATATAGTAATAGCCACAGGCCTTTAGATCAATTTAATTCAACTGTCAAACTTGGGGGTATAAAAAAAATATACCATCACTTTGGCAGTCAAATTAAAATGATCTAAAGGCCTATGATATTACTGGACCTTTTAAATAGATAACCTTGGAAATTTCTTTGCGTGGTGTCATACAGTATGTTGCAGTCTATTTTAAGTAATGGGGATTTTATATGAGGAAGGAAGGCCTACATATATATAATATATAATCTTGAAGTGCCAAGCATGTCAGGAACTACATGTCAGTTGATCTCTTATAATTACACAACTTATTAGTATGACCAAAATAAATATTTTACAACCGTATGTACAATATACTCAATTTCTCCGATAGGCAACCATGCAATTATGACTATAAGTTTTGCCATTAAATTGAGACAAATTAAATTGCACTTTTTTCCCATTTGGGAGGAAATATATTAATTTGATGGCTTGTAAATTGTAATAAACGAATCTTAATTGAGAGGTATTAGCTTATAGATTTCATATTGAAATAAAGTGAAAAAAAATGTAGGTCTAAATATAGGGATGACTGCATTGCCCTATACATAACCTGGTATTGCATTGATAAGGCAATTCAGGAACATTCTAAATGAATGATGCAAAACTGATTATATTGATCAATAGAATGAAATAATGTGAAATTTATTTTGGGAAATTTATACTTGTCAATTTTTTCAGTGGTAACAAATTAATTGTAGATTACTGAAAAGTCATACGTTTTGCTATTAGTGGTCTAAGGGGCATAACTCTTATTATAAACTATATAAATAAAGAAAAAATAACTAAATAAATTAAAAAAAAAAAAAAGATGAGTGGTTTTCTGCTAAGGATAAAACTGTCATCTGTTATCTCTGATTAACAGGTGATTTAAAGCTGTTTTGTAGGTGGAGTGGCAGGACAGTTCTTATGATAAATGTTAATCACATTCATATTTTTTTCATTTTTCAGGAATCGTGCTAGAATGAGACATGCCCTCCATGGTCTGTGTGTAACTCCCCAGAACAACCTGAAAATCTGTCAGGTAACACAGATAATGAAGCTTTTTACATAGAATATTCCATCAACAAACCAGAAGTAGTAGCTCATCAATTCTGTCCTTTATGCATACTGTGAATCAAGCTTTGTCACATATTCAATGAATCAAATCTGTAGTACATGAACATTGTAATAATCTCTTGGAGAAGTTTTGTGGCTTTAATGAAAACTGATCAATTTACAGGAAATTAAAAGAAAATTTATACCATATAAACATTTGCTGCAAATTAGACTGATTCCAGAAATTGACTTCAACCTTGGAAATTTTTTTTTTTTTTTTTTTTTTGAATAAAGAAGATAGGAGATAAATAAATACATCATGCCTCCTTGCCTTCAAAGAGCAGGTCGGGGGGGGGGGGGGGGGGGGGGGGGGGGGATTAAAAATGAATGGCATTTTGGGGGGAAATTTAACATGCAGAAGAACTCAGATGAATTGATATCTTTATCATTACTAATTAAGAAAATAACACTATTCACTTTGGAAGAAAGGTTTCTTTTTTGCATTAATTGGGAAAAGGGCTGTTTAGCAGTCCCCATTATTATAATGGACAATTGAGAGCCCTGCAAATCATGCTGTATATGATCCTCCCCCCCCCCTTTAAAAAAAATGAAATGATTTATTATATTCATATTAGTATTAAATTTAAAAAAGAACTGTTAATAACTCACACACCATGAATATTTTGATACCTTGTATTTTTAAAAAAAGTCATGATTTGATATAGATCGACCAAATGCAAAACATTATGGCTTAATTAGGGGATATAGATTCACAGTAAAATTTGTCTTCTGAAATTGATTTGTATATTAAAAACAAATATAATCTAGTATTTTTTTAACCTTGGAAAAAAAGAAGTATTAAAGAATATGAAGATGTGTTTAGTAATAAAACCTGCACAAATACTTTTATTATTTTGAGTCACACTTTGGTTAGGTTTTATTTAAATGCATGTGAAGGTATTAAATCAAATCTTAACATATTCTCACACTTTATGTTTATCACTCAAAATGAATTCTAAAAAAATTAATTTAACAGACAAATAATGAACATTTTATTGATTTAAATCCGAACAATATAGGGGCACTCCGTATTTCTCCTGATGAAATTAAATTCTGCAGACGAATTTAATGGGTGTTTCAACAAAGGGAGTGTACCATTGGGTACACTTTCCTGAAATATTACTCTGTAACCATTACACGGGGATATGTTTCAATAACGTGCCAGGCTTGAGTCTAAATCATGTTTGTTGTGACAGAATGCATCAGGTCTTTGACATCATGTTGACAGACAGATCGTAGTTATTAAAATTGTTATGATATAATACTTGTGCCCATTAAAAATAAAGCAAATTGGACAGGTGTCTAAATTATGCGGATATATATGTTTTTTTGGTGTGTTTGCATGTTTAATTTTTTTTCTTTTGTTAATTATGGGGAAAATATTTTTAATATTCATCAAACCAATAATAAATGATTTTAACAAAGATATCTGATAGAATTGTATTGAAAGTCCCCACTTATATTACTGTGTCTTGTTATAGGTGATTTACAAGGTTGTCAGTTCTCAATTTATTCTAGTTATTTAACAGATAATGAAAAAAATTCTTTTGAACACAAACTTAAGTTAATATTTCTTGAAATATATATTGTTTTTCCACTTGTAGAATGGAATTGAGGTATACAGTGAATTTTCTAAAGGTGACCTAGGTAAAATCCTACAGCAGTTTTTCGGAGATTCAGTGAATGGGTTGAAAAATGGAATGAGAAAACACGTGTAAGTTAAAAGTAGAAGGGAGATAACTCAGTGTTTGGCTGAAAACTGCCAAGATGAGTAAAATTTTTGGAAATAAGTACATGTAATGAGATTGTAAAGATTTAAGGAGGTATAATACACCTATTAAAATTGAAAATGAAGGAGAGTTTGTAGATGAGGGGGATTAAAACTTTTTGAATGCATGATTTAGCAAAAATAGCACTTTGAGTGAAAATTAATTAAAGCAATATGAGCTGCATTTTCGAGAATTTTATTTTGCTGTTAAAATGTGCTGTTATGATAAATCTATGTAAATTAAACCTTTATGATCAATTAGACTAAAATAAAGTATTAAATTGTTTCATAAGAAAGATTTCTGCACAATGGAATGTATAGTATTGTATAAGAAATCAATATAGTACAGGACGACAATAATGTAATTTTGCTTCAATCAAGGCTTAAAATTAGTTCTTCCATTGCAAATAAAAACAATAGAAGTTTATAAACATTCTTTTTTTCTGTCATTGAACTAGTTATTTGCAATATTGCAACAAAAATTTAAGACATCAAAGTTGCAGCTCATATTGCTTAAAAAAAAAAATTGCAGCCCTTTGTTAGTAATATGAGCACTCTCAACAACTGTATTACTGAGGTAGAGAGTTGAAAGGAACACCTGGCATTTATACATTTTACTTTTAATATGGCTTTTAAGATGTACTTTAGATTAAAAAAATATATGATATTGTGATATTCCACCAAACTACTTGTAGCAAATGACATTCTTTTCATGTTTAGAATTTTTTTTCTTGAGCCTCATTAATTGCCTTAACACATTGACGTTGACATTTATGGTTGATATTTAACATTTCAGGGAAGTGCAGACATTTGTCGATTTGATCATTGATGCTTTACTGTATGTGCCAAAAAAACTGGAATCTCATCGATCTAGTCACGCAGTCCTGAGGGCCAGTAATCGTCAAGCTAAAGACTCGCCAAGTCTCTCCCGCAAAAAGTCTCCTATTTATAGTCAGCATTGTCAGAACAGTTCGTTCAAGACAAACCATAATGCAAGTTCTGGTAGGGCTATACTATGAAATGGGAGGCAAAATATGATTTATAAATGCATAACGAAACTTTAACGTGAGTTGAATTTGTGCCACTGTTTTTCATAGAGGAGTTTACTCTCTAATCTCCAATTGCATGATAAACTTTGCCAAAAATCTCATTCAAGAGTTTCAGATATCCACATGGGAAGATATTTGATAGATATTGGGGAAGATATTTGAAGTTTTTCTCTGCAGTCATTCAGTGAGCTCATCAGTTGAATATGCATTGAACAGCATTACTTTACGAGCTTCCCTTTAAAAGAATAAAATAGTTGAATTGTTTGCAAGATATGTCAGATCTTTTTTTTTTTCAAATTGCTGTTTTAAGGTTAAATTGATAAATCCTTGGTTAGAGCAAATAAATGCCCCCGCACCACTCTGTAAATGATGAACTCTTGGAATATTTTTAAAGGAAATTCAGTTGTAGAAAAGGGACTTTACCCCCTCAAATAGACATTAAGGGTCACACTGTATATGGAGAGTCCTTTTCTTTAACAGCAGTGTACCTAACATATAATTGTGCAAAGATGATAGTTTACCAATTTTGACAGGATTATTCACTCTTTCCTAGAATTTTTTAAATCTGAATATTTGAATGTGCTTTAAAAATATCCTTAAAAAATTTGATCACTCTGTTATAGAGCCAAACAGTCTACCCCATAGTTGTGTTCTGGAGCGAGTCCTCCATGTCCAGATGCTTGACCAGCTGGACATTGAGGAGATCCACCCCCTGTATGTCAGGGTGAAGGAGTATGTGTACAACCACCCTGAAGAAAGGTAACAACTTAAAAACAGTGATGTCTGTACTGGTGGGGTGAAAGTTGAATCTTTACTTAAGTTTTTCTTAAATAATGCAAAGCAACTGCCTTTTTGGACTAATTTTCTTTCTTTCTTTCTTTTTATCATTTTTTTTAGACAATTTTTCAAAAGTTCTCTTTCTGTGATTTCCCTGTGCCATGTTGTCTTTGCTATCAATATACAGATATGATTTAATTTTTGCAATTACAAACTGCACTATAAACTCATGAAGGTTAGACTTGAATAAAGAAAAGTAGGTTTACTTTTGTAGAACCTAGCATTTTATGCACATATCTTAAAAAAAAAAAATCATAAGTTAACGATAATTCTGATTTGTTGCAATAATTAATGTAATTAAACAATTGTGGTTCACTTTTCAGTGCCCAATGGAATCTGTATGGGCCGTTCACTTCCGAGTCTTGGTTGACCCCATGTTTAGAGGACCCACAGAGCCATGCAGACACAGAGAGTATAGAGTATGCTGTCAGTCAGGTAAACATGCTCCTGATAAAATATGTGGTGGAAGAATTTTAATCTACAGAATTAAAAATTGATGCTTGCTAACAGTCTAGACAAAAGCAGTGATTTTAATGTAATTAATTAGAAGTTTATGATATAATGATGGCAAAGATTAGGAAATATCTTTGTATAGAAATGTTAGAAGAACTCTATATCAACCATATTTTCCAAGAAATTTCTGTTTTGTCTTCATTTTTTCGTAAGATATACTAAAGACTCGTATTATTTCATAGGAGTTCAATTTTCATGGATTTAGTGGATACCTGCTACCAATAAATGAACAAATTACATGAATATTGAAGTAAATGAATTATCTTTTAGAATGAGACCTTTTCTTTAACAATACCTTAAAATGATTGTAAATGTTGGTTTCTTACTCATGGATCACATGTCTACTGAGTACTTTGTCTATTGATTACTTTGTCTATTGAGTGCTTTGTCTGTTGAGTACTTTGTCTATTGAGTACTTTGTCTATTGGGTTCTTTGTCTATTGAGTACTTTGTCTATTGAGTACTTTGTCTTTTGAGTACTTTGTCTATTGAGTACTTTGTATTGAAGGTAAAGAGACACAACATATCTAAGACTGCCCAGGACTGTTCTATAATGGTGGCTATGCAGCAGATCTCTCCAAACATGAATATGTAAGTGACTCGGATATCATTCATCTTTTATAGCCTTGCCCAAGCTCTTCTCAGGGATAAAGTACATGTAATATTTTATCTTGAGTGAAGTTCTTAAAACTGTTTCACAAAGTATTATAGGTAGTTTTCATAGCTTCCCTTTGACTTAGTCCATTTTGGAGGTCAACCCAGTGAATTTTCTTTTTTGATGAACCAAATTAAAATGTGGCAGGAATATAGGGGGGGAAATCTTTATGAAAATTAGGAATTAAAGGAGACTTTAAATGTATATTCTTCAGAAAAAGTAAGTGTTATACACCTCAATGGCCAGTACAAACAAGTTTATTAAAATGATGAAGGAATCTGGGCATGTTGACCTCCAATATTGCAACCAGTGGGAAGTAACTCTTGCTAAATTGATATTTGTTGGACACTCTCTATTTTTTCTACTTAAATTCGGCTCATCATTGGTAACTCTGATTTCTGTTTTTATCTAGTGAGAATGAGGACATGGTGCTAACGGACAGCTGTGGCAGGAAGTATCAGTTCTCTGTGGTGATCATTGACCTTGACCCCAAACCTGTGGACAAGATCAAAAAATACCACCGCCAGCAATCCGACATCGTCCAAGCCTTCACAGAAGATCAGCCTGACGACACAGAAGATGATGCAGCCATTGATCATTAAACAGGGGTCAGGATGTCAAGGGCATAGGATATCAGGGTCATTAGCAAAAGTGGCATTTTCGTAAAAAAATGGTTTAAAATGAATTGGATGATACAATGTAAGGATCCTGCATTATAGATGTTGAATTTTAATGATGAATGAAGTACTATGTATTTGTTTTCGATTTTTTTGAAATATTTTTTGTTTAAATTTGCTTTGTTTGATTTCCATGGTAACCCTTCAAAAGGATTTTTCATAGAAGTCCAACAGATATCTAGTCATCCCCTTGTTTGTTGTTATTTTTGTTGTTTTTTCCAAGAAAAGAAATGTTGTTTCCATCGTTTTGTTGAAGAAATAGATTATGAATATTGAACATCAAATTTTTAAAAATCATAGTGCATGTATTCATCTCTGTTTTCAAACACATTTGTGATACAGTAGTTCAGAAAACTATAAACGAACAGATCTAAGAGGGTGTATATTTAAAATCAGATATTTCTTGGAATGGAGGAACTCAAAAACTTTTGTTTTGCAATAATGCTGGTGAAACAATGTTAAAAAAAGTGGAATTTTAAATTTTCTATTGATGAGCAAATCATAACAAAATGCATTCTATTTATTAATGTAATATGAATGAATTTAAACCAGAAAATAAGAGTTATCTTCCCTATGTTCTCTCTTGAAAATTATAATGCTTTCATTCAAATTTGTTTAAGGAAAAATAGGAAGAAATACACATCATCTGATTAGGGCATTTCAATCCACTTAAATGAAATGTGCTTTGGAAAGTCAGGTATTAGAGCATACAAATTTAACCTAAATTATTAAACTAATTTAAAAAGGGGTGGGGGGCTAGAATTTCACTTCCTGTCTATACTTGAATGGACTCCCTCTTGAATTTGCATGGGGAAAAAATTATTATTTGTCTTGAAATTAATTATATTAAAAAAAATTTCAACTATGAATGCATATCAAATCCCTGTTAACATTGGAAAAAACAATAGTTTTACTGCATTTTTTTTTAATGAAAAAAAAGGTTATATATATTTTAAAAGTGTTATAATTGTTGTTGTAATATATATACATATGCTTTATTCTTGTTTAATATATACTACATGGGTATATTGTTAGTATCTTTAAAGTTATGGTATTCCAGTAGGGGAACATCAGACATATTCATCATTATATTTTAAGTATATATTTCAGTTCTATATTTGGTTATATGTAAAGAAGCAGCAGGTACTATTGTGGGTCACACATGCACATCTGTTCTGAGAAAAACCGGTGGTAGTAAATTATTGGTATTTATGTTCAGAAAAGAGGTGAACATTTTTTGCATATTTGTGAAATCCTAATTGTAAAAAAAATAGTCATGCAGTTGATACTTGTAAATTTTCTGTTATATTTTAAGTAATTCATGTCTTATATATCTCCATTGCTTTATATGTTTTGAGTGATTTTTGTTGTAATTATACCTTGATTCAATCAAATATTAATAAGGTCAAAGGTGTTACACTCATAAATAAATTTTAACATGAATTATAAATTTAGAATTATGATGTTATTACCCACCCTTTTTCACATAGAAGCAGGACCAGTTTCCTGTAGTGCCAAATATAAGCATTATTTGGCCAAAAAAAATGTGTACTTTGAATGTTTGTGGAAGGTCAGTGTTGTCTTATTATTGTAGCTTTTCTTGTTATTGTATATCTTTTTGTATATCTTTCCTTCTTTCAAGAAGTCCCCGTGGAATTTTTTTTAAAAGATGAAAGGCACGGAAGACAATTGGTGCATTAATTAGGATCCAGGTGCTATCCCTTTCTTGCAATATGAATGCAATGTTATGCATATTTTAACACTGGTGCTTCTGAGATCTGATAAAATAACATACTTCTAAATTATTGAATACCTTAACAATGGCTACTTATTATTTCGAGCTTCCCACTGTCCTAGGAATTCATTTAGCTCATGAAAAGCATGATGTATGCATTTGCAAGTTCAATTTATCCAACATTAAAAATGTCCTGTTTACATGACTGCCAGTATAAATAGTTTGGGGGGGAGGGGGGAATGAGGATTGAAGAGAAGGGGGGATCATTTAATATTTAACAAATTTGCTTACTATTAACCGTACATGTACATCAGTGATTCATAATCTGCCCTTTTTTTTTTTTTTAAACTCATCCAGGGTATGAAGCTATTTATTGCAGTGAAACATTGTGTGTTTTACTTTTGTGAGTGGTTACGTAAAACTGTTCTATGTATTGCTGTATTTAATGCTACTGTGTAAGTGTTTAATGTTTTTATTTACTCTCTAGAATTAGTTTTCCCTGTTAGAATTAACAAGTGATATTTCATACATGAGTGATTGTCGCAGGCCAGTACTCTATCTGAGAAAGAATAAAGATAAACCCTGGCAAAAACATGTTAATAAAATGTACTGTACACCAGGGAAATTTTTCGACCCAGTTTTATTTTTCGCCCTCATCACAAGTGGGGAAAGATTATTTGTAAGTGTGAAAGAGTGAGAATAATACTAGGCAAAAATAACCCTGAGTGCACTAAATAGTACACACATACAAACAGACACACACACATATACACACACACTGTTGATGGTGCTGTAAGTGTTGCATAATAGTCTACCGTTTGTTTTGTGATGTTTTACCCCTTCTGTTGTCCATGTCGGAGTAGTTCATATATAAAGGGTATTAATATTTGTTAACTTCAGTTACGGCCAACTTATGGGAAAGTCTATTTGTCTCAGTTTATAACTAAACATGGTAACTGTAGTGTCAGACATTTTTTTTCTCTCATTCAAATAATAAGTGATAAATTTATTAATCTTAGAAAATATGTTTAATTTTGAATTTTGTCTCCTTAAAGATAGTGGATGATGTAACTAATTTTTATATTTATATGTTGCAGGACATGAAATTATATGCATTTTTAATCTGAAGTTGTAGTTAGATATATATATATAAGCATAATGCATTTGATTCAATCTTGTATTCCTAATTAGAGTTGGATAAGGATGCAAGAATGGTATATATTGTATGGAATAAAATTCCAGTTGTATTTTTTTTTTTTTTTTTTTTTTGTAATTTTTATTTTTTTTTTTTTTTACAAATACTGGAGATTAAAGTACATGTATAACTTACTTATGCTGAAGCATGCAATTGAGGTCATCTTGTTTGAGTAGTTCAGTTCTTGTTTGAGTTAGTTCAGATATGCCTGAGTAAGTGTTCAAAAACTGAGAATATTTTACACTTGTTTACAGTAATTGGAATATATATTCTTGATTAGGTGACATACAGTACCTTCCAAGATGTTTTAATATTATTTCTAAAATTGTGAATAAGTTTTTTGTGGTGTTCACTTTCATTTTGTATTTGTAAGTATTTACCAATAAACAAAAAAATCTGTATTACATATTTACTACTGAACAAAAATATATAAAATTTCATTTAATAAAATTTTATTATTTGTTTAATGGTGAAGTCTTGGTGCAGGTTAATATATATAAAATGACTATTAATTTTATGGATAATAATAATCTGTTGATTTAATATTTCAAATATATATCTAAGAGTATATTTATATATATTTAGAGATTCTAATCATCGATTCTGGTCAAGTTGGTCTTCATGTATTATAATTTTTGCAGTAAATACACAATCAAAAATTGTAAAAGTTATTGTAAAAGATTTTTTTTTTAATTTTATATATCTGTATATATACTAGCTTGTATTGTTACTGGTATCGGCTAGTAGGCAAGAGTGAGAGATATTTTTCTTTTTATTTGTTTTGATAGGATTGTCGTCGAAATCTTCCCCTTTTTTTCCGCACATTATACTTTTTTAAGGATTGTAACAGGGATTAATTGTGTTTTAACAAGAAGCTTAATTATGATTATTGTCCGATACGTGTGCTACCTGAATTTTTTTTTTTTTGTTTTCAAAGCATTGTTGAATCAAATAAAATCTTTAAGATTTTAACATCAGTTTTTTGGTTTGTTCTGTATGTTAATTCAGCTGTGTTCCATATACCTGTAAATTTTAGCTTTGTTACAAAGAAAGTGTCTTACTTCATTAGGCCTGAAAAAATATATTGCTGTGGTTGTCTACATAAATCACCTGTCCCAAAAATGTGTCTGGGTCATGATCAGACCCACGTGTTTCACTTTATTTAGTTTACTCAACTTGAACTTAGAAAAAATAAGAAATTTTCAGTTTTTGCTAACTTTTGTAGGGATGTATGTATAAGGTTGAAATTGCATATGCTGGTATTTTGGCAGAAAATACAGGTCAAGTTCGAATACAAATTTAAAACTAAATATTGCATTTGAAATTTTGGCTGCCTGCAGGGGCATTATGACAGTAGTTTACTAAGTGATAACCAAGCAATGGGAACACTTGGTGTTACAACTGCATACATATTTGCTTATGACACAAGGGTCACATTGATTCTGGGTCATTTGGACAAGGTTTCTGGGTTATATCTCTGGAAGGAACAGTATGAAATGAAACACAAGAAATTCTTTCTTGATGAAACCAAGAGTATATCATATCAAGAGAAGTAACTAGACAGGGCATGAAACATTTATAGTGCTCAGTTGGCTTAGGTCTAAGAAAGTATATTGAAAATACTTTTTAGCTCACCCGGGCTGAAAGCTCAAAGTGAGCTTTTCTGATCACCCATTGTCCATCTGTAAACTTTTCACATTTTCAACCTCTTATAAAAACCACCGGGCCAATTTTAACCAAAGTTGGTACAAAGCATCCTTGGGAGTTTCAATTGTTAAAATGAAGGGCCAAGCCCCCTTCCAAGGGGAGATAATCAAGAAAAGAAAAAAATAGGATGGGTTCATTAAAATTGTCTTCCCAAGAATCACTGGGCTAGAAAAGTGTAATTTATAAATTGTTCAAATCATGGCTCCTGGAGATAGGGTGGGGCCACAATAGGGAATCAAAATTTTACATTGAAATATATAGGAAAAATCTCAAGAACCACGGGGCCAGAAAAGCTGAAACTTATGTGGAAGTCTTCTGAGGTAGTGTAGATTCTAAATTGTTCAAATTGGGGCCAATGAAGTATTACAAGGGGGGGGGGGGGTCTGGTGAAGAACAGCGGGGCCAATTTTTACGTAAGTCAGCATTGTGGCCCATGGGCCTCTTGCTAGCTCAGGAAAGCTGAAGGCTCAAGTTAGCTTTTCTTATTAAACAGTGTCCATCCATCTACATGGATTTGTCTGTCCTGTGCTGTCTGTAAATTTTTCACATTTTTGACCTCTTGTTAACCACTGAGCTAATTTCAAAGAAACTTGCCACAGAGCATCTTTGGGTTCAACTGAAGAGACACACCTTTTTTTAAGGGGAGATAATTAAGAATTAGTGAAAATATTCGGTGGCATCTTTAAAAATCTTGTCAAGAACCATTGGGCCAGAATAGATGAAACTTACGTGAAAGCATCATTATGTAGTGTAGAAGCATCCCCAGAGAGTGTAGATTCAAATTTGTTCAAATCATATCCCTGGGGGTAGGGTGGGGCAACAATTGGCAATCAAAGTTTTACATAGAAATATATAGGAAAATATTTTAAAAATCCTTTTAAGAACAGCAAAGCCATGATTAATCATATTTACATGGAAAAATCCTCAGTTAGTGTAGATTCAAATTTGTTAAAATCATGCCCCCCCGGGGGGAGGGTAGGGAGGAGCCGATTAAAATGGGCCATCAAAGTTTTGCAAAGAAATATATAGGGAAAATCTTTTCAAGAAGAGCAAAGCAATGATTTATATGGAAACATCCTCAGACAGTGTAGATTCAAGTTTGTTCAAATCATGCCGTGTGTGTGTGTGGGGGGGGGGGGGGGGGGGTTGTAGGGAACCACAATGGGCGGTCTGAGTTTTACATAGGAATATGGAGGGGGGAAATCTGCTGATGAACAACAGCAGGGCTATAGTGACTCAGGTGAGTGTTGTCGCCCATGGACCTCTTGTTAATACTAAAGTAACTTCATGACTCCACAGCACAAGAAATTTGTACATATATTACATGCAGGAAGCGTACGTCTAAGAGAGTATATTGAAATATACTTTTTAATACTCAAGTGTCAAAGTGACTTTTTTTTGCTTACAAAATATTTTTTTCATATACTCTGTAATCACAAAGCAATGCACTGACATCATGAATGTGTGTAGATATTTTTTTTTTCATTTTATGAACATTGTAAGTACTTTCTAGTAAATTACACATCGTCCCGTGATAAAGGTTTCTTCAGGTGAGCGCTGTGATCCAATCGCATGACATTTTGTATTCTATATAGATCCACCGATGTATTACTCGAATAGGAAGTGAGGAAAGAACGAAAACATATAGTTTAAGTATTCTGAATGCAAGTTAACCATCAATCAGGAAACTACACCATTAAATAAAACTGGGATTGTTCATGAGCGTTGTGCTAAGTTAAGTGGATTATTATTTAGGAAATTTAGCTTGAGGGACATTGAATAGCTATACGTAAACACAGGAGACTTTGCCTCGCCCACACATATAACGTAAGTTTGTTTTTGATACACTAAAAAAAAAATTTGGTAGATTTAAAAGGATTTGGTAGATTTAATGAATTCTAATTTGATTTTATCAAGTAGAATTTTTCATCAGAATTATGTTCCTTATGGAATCTACATAACTTTTTCCGCTACAGTATGCTTCATGCATACATTGTTTATGCAGATGAATATATCTACGCATCTTAAAAATGGCACGATTATATTATGAAATAGACGAAAAGCTTTCGGTAGGAAAATTAATGATATTAATTTTCTTGTTTTTTATCAAGGTGTTTAGGAGTCAGACTTAATTCATGGCTATAGCATCCGCAACAAAAGACATTGCAGTCTTAGAGGATTTCAGAGGTGCCCAGGATGTAATAAAATGTGATCTCTGTTCAAACTCCGTGGAACTTCAATGCAACAAATGTGACGTCAAACTATGCGGTCATTGTGTATCAAGACACGTGTCTAAAACCCAAACTACACATGAAATTGTAACTTTTGTTCACCGGAAATCAGAGCCAGCACTTCCTGTATGTAAGTTTCATCGGAATTCAAAATGTGAGCTAAAATGCCAAACGTGTGACACTGCGGTGTGTTCGAAATGCATAACGACTTTCCATAAGTTCCATGATATCGAAGATTTGATGGAGGTATTTAAGTCTAAATTGGATCTTATTCAGCAAGACACAAACGATTTAGAAATGGAATTTGTTCCTAGATACCAAAATATTATTTCTCGAATGGAATTGCGTATGTCGACTCTTGCACCTGAATACCAGATTGTGAAATCAGCCATAAAGAAACATGGACAGAAAGTGCATCGAATGGTGGATGTCGTAACCAAAATGTTTGAAGACGAAGCAGAAAAGATGGAACGAGAGTCCTTGGATACACTGAAGAATAGCATTTCGGAATCGACAGGTTTGCTGGATGAAATTCAAGAATTAATCAAGGAGAACAAAAGGCTTATGCAATCAAGTAATGTTGAACAGGCGCTCTTGTATAATTCAAAGATGGAGAGATTCAGAAAAGTGAAATCCGAATTTAGCGTTTCTGTCCCAGATTTTTGGCGAGTTAAACTCACGACTGACGAGCTATGTAATCTGTTCGGGAGATTAGAGACTTCGACAAAAGATGACAAAAAGGAAACTTCTTTAAAGTACAATGAAGAAAAGATCCCATTAACGGTAGAGAAAGATTTTTTGTTGATGCCCAAATTGAATTCAACCACAGAGAGCACTTTCGAACACGTCCAAAGGGTGAGTTGTCAGGACACGAGCGAAGCTTGGATTAGCGGGAACCAAAAAAACATCACACGCATTGACATTTGACGGAAATGCAAAGGAAGTTGTTTACACAACCTCAGGATATGTCCCCCACGATTTAACGGTCAGTAAACAAGGAGAACTTCTGTACTGTGACAGTATAGAACGAACAGTCAATATCATTAAATCCGGGAAAACGAGAGTGATTTTACGATATGAGGGCTGGAGACCGCAGGGAATTTGTACGACGTCAGGGGACGGAATTCTAGTTACTTTGTACAACGACCTAGAAGGACGCAGCAAAGTAATGAAGTATGGTATCAAGAGAAAGGATGACGAAAATCAAGGAATTTCGTCATTAGAAACACTACAGCCAAAACTGATAAAGGTCATACAGTATGACGAAAGGGGAGAAACTCTGTATAAATATGCGACCTTTATCGCAGAAAATGCTATCAACCATGACATCTGCGTATCCGACCATGGAACCAATACCGTTGTTGTAGTAAATCAAGAGGGAAAATTCAAATTCACCTACAGCAACGTCATGTCTCCAAGGAAATACGATACGTTCTTTCCCTGCAGCATTGCTACCGACAGTCAAGGCCAAATCCTTATAGCTGACGGCGACAATGATTGTATTCACGTGGTCGACAAAGATCGACAATTTCTCTGCTACATTGACAACTGCGACTTCTCTGGAGTTTGTGGAATTGATGTCGACTCTTCTGATAAAGTCTGGGTGGGAGAAGTCGACACTGGTCGAGTTAAAGTCGTCCAGTATTTGACCGATTAATTAATCTATCATAAATCTATCATTGCAGAAAAATAAATTACAGTGAATGATTTATTTTTTTTTTTAATTTCTCCCAGCTGCGATCTTGGAAAAGATCTTCTATGACATACTCATTACTTCAAAATGACTGAGACACAGTAATGAATGTTATCTTACAAGAAAATTGTGAAAAGTTCTTTACATCAAACTTAATTAAGTAAAATTGGACATTTTAGATTGCGCTGTTCTTCCTCGGGTATAGAAGTTCCCTTGCTTCGTTAGCGTTGCCCCTTTCATATTAAAGATGTTTAGACTGAAGCTTCCGCACTAGCTGCCTCTACGCCGGCCCCTGCTTCTGCGCCCCTTTCTTGCCCCCCTTACTTCCGGTTCCAGTCCCAGGTTCAGGTGCTTCGGTTGGCTCAGGCGGTTCAGTTGTCGGTGCTGAAAAACAATCAAAACAAGAGATGTTTGTGAAACACTTATGCCCCCCTCCCCCAAATAATTGGAATTTTCCTAAGTCCAAGGGGCATAACTCTGTCAAATATTGCTCGATCGTACCCAAAACAGAACTTTACCTAGATATTTTTATGATAAATCTGTATACCAAATTTCATTCCAGTATGTGCAACCTCAGCGAAGAAAATGAACGGAAATAATTGGAATTTTCCTAAGTCCAAGAGGCATAACTCTGTCAAAAATTGCTCGATCGTACCCAAAACAGAACTTGACTTAGATATTCTTATGATAAATCTGTATATCAAATTTCATTTCAGTATGTGCAACTTCTGCGAAGAAAAAGAACTTCTGCGAAAAAAAATGAACGGAAACTGTTGGTGGACCGACCGACAGACAGCACCAAAGCAGTATGCCCTCCTTTCTTCGAGGGGGGGGGGGGCATAAAAAAAAACTTTAGCACCTGGCACAGTCAATTTTTCAACAAACTTTGCTAAAAAAAAAATGCTACAAGATAATTAGGGCTCGATTGGCCATATTCTTCATCTATTTTATTTTATTTTAAATTTATTTATTTTTATAGTTTTTTTGTGTTTTGAACAAATCACTCCAATAGTTATTTAAAAGTTACAAATGTTCTCGCGATTTGACCTCTGTGGGTCGTTTCACTCTGTATTGATAAAGAATACAAAGCAGGGAGGGGGGCTTCTGGTGGTTTGTAAGATATAAGAGCTCATCTGTTGAATGAGATTAATTTGAGCTTTTTTTCAACGATAAGTACTACATGCAGTCATGCAACCCTCACTCATATTTTTCTCATTTAAACAAAAAAAAATTTTTTGCGTCCACCACTGGTTTCAACGAAGTCCAGATGCAGGCCCATAGGATGCAATTTTCAGGGGAATTGTTTTGGACAAAAAATTTTGACAAGCAGGAAAAAGTTAATCAGACGATATTTTTCAGGGGATACAACCATTAATAAGTTTTGTTTTCAATTGGCCTGTAGCTATAGCCCCTTTTTAAGGTGGCCTAGTGGTAAACAATACCTTATTTTCTTACCATATTCTTCCCGACATCTTGATTGTCAACTGGATCAAAAGACGTTTTGACATTGCTGATGAACATCAGCACAATACATATTTTTGTGATCACCTCAGTTCTAAATGTTTTTTTTTTTAAATTCCAGCAAAAAAGTTTATTATTTGACAGAAGGAAATGACAAATCTTGCTGCATGCAATGGGGTTAAGCTATACATTGAATAGTGGTTAAGGCAAAACATTAAAAACACAAAATATATATACGGGATATTACACTTACCGGCTTTAGCTGTTGCTGGAGAAGCATCCTTTGGTGCTGCTTTTTTGGATCCGCCCGTCCCTGCTTCTGCGCCCCCTTTCTTGGCTACTTTACCTCCAGCTTTTGTGCCACTGGTCCCAGCTCCAGGTTCCGGTGCTTCGGTTGGCTCAGGCGGCTCAGTTGTTGATGCTAATAACATGAAAAAAAATCTTTTAGCACCATAGGTCAAATTTTCACCAAATTTGACACAATTAACTACACAAGGTAAAAATGGCTCCATTTTACATAATATATTCTTTATCCTTATTGTTTTGAACAAAAATTGCAATACCACGATCTATAGCATGCTGAAACCTATCACGCGCAACTGTACAGCCTTATTGAATTCAATTATGGTTCTTTAAAAATTCCTATTTTTTAAAAAAAAAATCGAAAGTTTTTTCATGATCTTCGCATTGACTTTGTTAATTTATCTCAAACACAAGCTATTTACAAAAAAAAAAAAAGAAAGAAAGAAAGAATGTCTATTTCATTTTATATTCCTCTAATCAGTAATGGCCTGCAATGAAATGAAAGCTCTGTTAAATGAGAGATTGACATGTGCCTCGGGTTAGACCCCCGACCCTATATTCTCCGTTTGCCGAAGTGTGTGTTCACATAATGTATACATAATATAGAAAAAAGCATAAAAATGACTGTAAAAATAAGGATGATTACTCTCTGAATTGAAACATTTTGCGTAACCCCCCCCCCCCCCCCCCGCCAACCCCAACTGGTTTCATTTGCTTGCTATTTATGTTTCGAAGTAAGCTATCTTTTTTTCAACTAAGTATACAGGTATCAGTCCCAGCCTTCCCATTTTTCTTTAAAGTTCAAGATCCATCGTTGGTTTCAAAAAAGAACATGTACTTAGCGCCACCTCTCCTGCTTTTCGGACTGTCCGCTATTGAAGCTACATGCATAAATTTACAAATTGTTAATGAGTATATGTCTAATGTACTCATTAACAATTGAGAATTGTATATTAATGAAAGACAAAAGCGAAGAGCTTTTAAATTTTCATTTGGGTGAAATAAGCGCTTGTACATGTAGATGTAGATATAATACTTCGTACATTTTTCTTACCATTTTCTCCTCACTACACATTTTAACTTGATCTAAATACATCTTGTCATTTGCTGGAGAAAATCGAGACAATAGAATTAATGTTATCACTTCACTTAGCTTATGAAAGAGTTCCAATTTTTATATATTTTTTCTACATTTTTAATTTTAAATCACACATATGTACTAGGTTTGTACGTGTTAACATTGAGAAAACGAATTCGAAATGTTGAATCTTACTGTAACGTGATCTATGCTCTGCATTGATTACAAAGATTAAAAACAGAAAAATATCTAAATGCTTTAATATGTACATACATGTACCGACTTTACCTGCTGCTGGGGAAGAACTGGCATTGGTTGCTGCTTTTTTGGATCCGCCTGCTGCTTCTTTTTTGGACCCGCCTGCTGTTGCTTTATCAGTTTTGGCTGCTGCTGTTTTTGTGTTGCTACCTCCATCCACATTGCTGGCGCCTGGCACCACTGGTTTGGTCGTGATTTCGGGTGCTTCTGTAGGTTCTGGTGGTTCTATAGGTTCGCCATTTGCATCTAGGACAGGTGCACCGGCAACTAAATGTTCCAAATGTTGGTCTGAGAAAGTGCTTTTGTTGATTATGACATTTCGATTAAAGTAAATTTGGTTTGATGTTTTAGAAGAAAGTTTAACTCAGGAGAGAGAGAGAGAGAGAGAGAGAGAGATCGAAGGGGGCTCCTATTTCATTATATTGTGGAGATGTAAAAGTATGCATTTTATATCATTCATTCCATTTCATGGTTATGTGTTACTTTAAATCTTTATTGCTTTTGCAGTTTTACCTTATTGAGCTGATAATTGAATTGAGCATCACAATTATTGAAATATTTTGCTGTGTTTTCGTACTTATTTATCTGCATGATAAGTCCCACATGCATAAACTATATTTCTATAACATACCGGATCCCTTTGCCGATGATTTTTGTGTCCCGGGTTTATTTCCTCCGACTGGACTCGGTGGAGATGTTCCCTCTGGGAGTTCGGGGGCCTCAGTGGGTTCCAAAGGTTCAGGAGGCGCTTAAAAAAAAAATGTACCGAGGATCAGATTTCCAGGATTCAAATTATTTCAGGCATTTAAAAAGGAAGAGATACAAATAACAAACCTATACCATGAAAAACAAGCCCTGTATAAATGCAGAAGAACAAAGTCGATAGAATGGAACCATAACATAAATCTTTCCAAGTTCCAAATAAATTCGATTAATTTTGAAGAAAAAAAGTATTCTTGACATTTGTTCTATGTTTTTTTTTTTTCAATTTACTTAACACATTCTAATAATACAAATTTATAAGAAAAACCCATTGCATGTATACCTGCTTTTTTCGAAGACTTTTGGCTCTCCACGATTTGGCCCACCAAAAACACAATCAGCAACAAATAACGCCACATATCTGTTTTAACTGAGTCCAATACTTGAAACAAGGCATTTTACTTGTATATATGTACAAAAAAGAAGCATTTTACATACAAATTCGTTTATCATTTGTCAAAGTAGCTACCGGTAATGTGTATAGAATGGCAGCATATGATTCAATGCTAATGCGTAATTTCAATGACCATTCTCTCACAAACTGTTATTATTGCGCACGACCAGTAAACATACAAAATTTTGTCTAAATTCCAATTGAAATAGATTTAGAATTATTATTTTTTTTATTTCATGATTGTTAAAATGTTAGTGTCATCAATGAATGTGTTACATAAGATATATGTCTGTGAATTTCAATCGAGACTCGACAATGCTAAATGCAATGTAAAACACTGTAAAGATTTGTATTGAAAATTTTTCTTTCATGATAGTCATGCAAGAATTTTACAAACAGCACAATTCTTTTAAAATTTTTCGAGATTTCTAGAGAAAACAGAGGTATAACGGTAGAAATGTATTCTTTGTTCTGTTTATGGATTTTTTTTTTTTTTTTTTTTATTTATTTATTTATTTTTTTTTTTTTTTTTGTTAATCTTAACTCTCTGCAAAAACACGCATTTAATAATTAATGACTATAAAGAATCTAGAAATTTTAGATAATCAACTAGGATCAAAGGGATCCATTCTTCGCAGGAATATAGAAAACGTGACCAATTATCTTAAATGAAATTATTTTTCAGCTTTCATACTTTTTAATTTTTGCCTTTGACGAAAATATGGAAGATGACTTACCAACCTCCCGACGAATTCTCCAGCGCTATTTTAATGATATCTTTCTTCTGAGCACTAATTAACAATCTTATTTATATCATCTAGTGTCTAATTACAAATAATGAGTATTGCAATCTAAGGGATATTTATCATTGTATAATTTGACATTTATTTTTTCACTCTTTTAGACGCAGAGATCAAAAGATACCATATATCAAACATTAATTAGTATTCTCTGAATTCGGTGTCTTGAATACACTTCACTCTTCATACCTCTCTCTCTCTCTCTTTCTCTCTCTCTCTCTCTTTAAAATAATTTTTAATACAGTTTATTATACCTCTACTGATTTTATCCCTATATAAAATTAGATTGTTAGATATGACTAATTCCCTAGAAATCGTTATGAATGGACTATGGACCGTGCGTTAGTCAAGTGAGCTAATCTCTGCTTCGAAATGTTATTTATCGAAAGCTAATTCCAGGTTATCCGTAATCCTCTGGATTTTACTTTTACATTGGTATGATATATGAATGGACTAATTCCCGTATTTAGTTCAGTGAGCTACTTGTAATTCCTGCTTTGATATCACGCTATCTGAATCCTCTAAATTTTACGTTTGTATCGGTATATTAAAACAGTTAAAAGTATATATCATTGCGGGAGTTAGCAAGATTCCAGTTCCCCTCGACCAGGATTATTTCCTTCGGCTTCGCCTCGGGAAATAGTCCTGGCCTTGGGGAACTGGAATCTTGCTAACTCCTTCAATGATATACTTTAACTGTATAATAACATAGCTATGGTCTTTGCAAGTGTTCTCAAATTCGATCTTTATGTATTTGAATGAAAATGCGAAGATGACGAACAGTGATCGATCCTTTAAACAATACGAATAATAAGGTAAATGATTTAATTACCTCATCCCTATGCATTAGAAAAGGTTACTTATTTTGAAACTTGATATGGTTTCCATTATTTGTGCAAATATAAACATACCAAGAAAACTTACGAAGTGACTGGGATACAGTACTATACATATTAGATATCACAAGTAAAGTTATAACAAAATAGTTTATTATACTTCTGTTAAAATGTTTCCTATATAAAGTTAAGAAGGTAAACTAACTATCTTTATAGTCTCAAAATTTCCACACAAAGCAAAACTATACCCCGGGGTATAGTTTTTGCTATCCACCCCTCGGAAAATTTTCATGCAAGTTTTGCCGCCAAGTTTGATTTCCTGTAATCAATCTATAGACTTATGATGTCATCCTTACTTCAGTAGCATTGTGACGTCATCAGGATTTCAGCTCATTCTAACAGTGTTATCTTATTCTATAGTCTGTCCCACCAAGCTACTGTCACCACTTTTTGCAACATATCTCAAAATATATAAATACCTTGGCCTTCAACCTAGGTTCGAGAGATGGATCATTTTTTTTCCAAACTTCCTGCATTTATCCGAACCCTCGAGTTCAACCGGTGTATTGACACGGCGGCAAATTCAAAGTCTACGGGGATTTAACATGGTAAACTCGTCCATTAGCGTCAAGATCACGGGGCAGGAAACCAGTTTATCGAGGGAGTAGTCGTTCTTGCCAAATTAAAATTACAAAAAATCCTAAAAATTCAACGAAAGCAATTCAGTGTGTTTTGGTAAAAAATATAAGTATTGTTTTGCATTCAAATATATTTGACGAGTTTTCTCATAAACTGAGAGAAAATAATCCGAATTCAATGCAGTACAAGTTGTGGATAACGCACTGCTCTATAAAGGGGATGTTGCTGACATGATGTGTAATTTACAGCTTCCTTCGATGAAAACGTAAGTTTTTTTTTTTTTTTTTACTTCTGAAAGTACACCCACAAAAGAATGTTTTCAAGTGCTAATGATTTGTCAAAATCAAGCATTATTCGGCGAAAGCGCCCAATGCATATCTGCACAGTAGGCCTAGTGGGGGGAAACGAAAACTTTCAGTAGATCTATAATGGTAATGACTTTTATGATAGGTCTACTTTCTCTTTCAGTCACAGGGAACATATCTAAAACGCAACAGTTGGTCCACAGAATTCATTGTAAACAATCCTTTCACCTGATGAATAAAATGTCAAATTTCCCCCTTTTAGTTACAGAAAATTTTCGATTAAATATACATTAAGTTGAGGATAAAGTAAGCATGCTGCATTTTATTATAAAATAAATGAACTTAGATTAGCTCTCAGAATGCAAATTATTACGTTAATCCTAAACTTTCCAGGGGAGGGGGCATGCCCCAAATACTCCCATTTTGAAATATTCACACTTCCAGTACTAACTTTGCAGTTACATTTCATCCCTTCATGTGAAAGACAGTGTGATTTTTTTTTTTTTGGTTGTTCCTCAGTCCCCCTCTTTTTCACTAACAATTTTTTGTTAAGTTGGAATTCATAATATGGTAATGCTGCAAGTTTCCCTGGTATACAACCCTTGAGATTTCTTTTTTTTTTCTTTCACCAGTATTGTAAAAAAAAATCTTTATTATTTTTTTTTTTTTGGGGGGGGGGGGGGGGGGTATTTCTTTAAAGTTCATAATTTGAAATTCATTGACTTACATCTACCCCATAGTTAACCCATTTTGTTCAAACAATAAAGAAAGAGAGCATACAGGACTATCTCCTGCTGTGAGATATATTACAATTTTCAAAGTTCAAGGAAGAGTTACATTTATAAAAAAAAAAGTTGTTAGTAATGTCAATGGCAAACTTAAATTTTCACTACCTCAGGATGCTTCCATATCAATATTACTAATCATGGCTTTGCTGTTCTTTACAGAAGAATTTTAAAGACCCCCCCCCCCCCATGTATTCCTATGTAAAACGCTCATCGCTCATTGTGGCCCAGGGTTAGAAACTCCCTAAAATTACAACTCGCAAATAATTGCGAGTACCAACAAAGTGAACTCGCAATTTTATAAGACTACTCGCAATTTTCATATAAAGTTAAATTTATATAAATTAAATACATGTAACTTAAGGAAAAAGTAACTACTGTACAGTACACAAAATACAACTACAGTGTGACTTTTATTTAAATTACTGATTTAAATCAAAAGTATTGTGTTCTGTCATATTATATAATTTTGCTACAGTTTCAATGCAAAAAAAAAAAAAAAATCAACTCGCAAGTTTTTGTGAGTTACCTAATTTTCAACTCGCAATTTGGGAATTCTAACTCGTGTTTTGCGAGTTGTATATAGTGAATTTCGAACCCTGGTGGCCCCACCCTACCCATCCTAAAATTGAACAAATTTGAATCTACACTACCTGAGGATGCTTCTATAATAACATGACTAATCATGGCTTTGCTGTTCTTGAACAGAAGATTTTTTTTCAAGATGATTCCTATATATTCTTATGCGAAACTTTGACCCTTTGTTGTGTTCCCACCCCCCTAATTTGAACAAACTTGAATCTATACTACCTGAGGATAACTTGATTCTACATTACCGAAGGTTGCTTCTGAATTAATATGGCTAATAGTGGCAAAGCTGTTCTCGAGAAGAAGATTTTTAAAGACATTTCCCATATATTCCTACATAAAACTTCGACCCCCTCTTGTGCCCCCCCCCCTCCCCGGGGTTATGATATGAATAAACTTGATTGTACATGTAATGTAATTTGTAATGAAGCTTTTACATAATTTTCATCTTTTCTTGCCTAGCTAGTGGTTCCTGAGAAGATTTTTAAAGATGCCACTAAATTTTCATGAACTCTTCATTATCTCTCCTTGAAAGAAGGCATGGCACTTCCTGTGAACAAACTTAAATCCTCTTCACCCAAGGATGCTTTGTCACATTTGCAGGTTTGTTTTAAATTGGCCCAGCGGTTCTTGAGAAGAAGTCAAAAAAGTTTATAGATGGCAGACGCCGGACACCCTTTGATCAGAAAAGCTCACTTGAGCCTTCGGCTCTTTTTTTTTCTTTCCACATACCTTCATAATTGAAAATAAAAAATACTAATCAATAAGTTATTCAATTAAATAAAAGAAGCAAATGTGTAAAAGATGATATTGACAATACAATTTTTGTGAAATATAACATCATGAACTTAAGAATTAAGAAATGTCTTTTCTCAGAGTGGGGTATTATCTTCGCCTTGTACGCATCCATTCTTTATGTCCAAAAGAAAAATTTAGCAAAACATTCATTTGTAAAATTAAAGTTATGTACAGTATTCTAGCATACATGTACTAAATAAAAGGCCAGAAACTAAGATCATGCATATTGTATACAGTGTATGAGCAAATTGTAATAAAGAAGTAAAGTATACTTGATTATGCCTTTATATTTATTTACATAATTTTTTTTTTTTTTTTGAAGGTTAAAAAAAATGGAGTACATTGTTATGATGACCAGACTCGAAGGCATTCATGTAATTGGGTGAATCACAGAGTCTCAGGAATCTTCTGGACTAGTAAGTTATACATGTACATGTATATATAAAATATTAAAATGTCTTTCCTCTCTGAATTGCATACTTCAGGCTGGAATCTGAAAATAAAAATTGTAGTTTCCATATGTATATAATTTATACTACATGTATCTTGGTACATGTAGAATTGAAATTCATTCTTTAATTTCACTTCAATTACTTAACCATAAATTTTCATTCTCAAGAATTTTAATAACATTTAAGATGTGTTTTATTATCTATTTCAGACCAAAAGTGATGGCTGAAACAAATATTAACTGGTAGTCTACTTAGTGATCTGGACACTGGATAAGGCAGAAACCATTTTCAACAGAACTGTTAAGAGTGTAAATAAAAAAAAAACAAGATACCCACTCTCCAACTCATTCATAGCTTCATTCTTGGCTTCATTGTGTTGAATATGAGTCAAGACTTTTCTATTGTACCAAGGCTGAAGGGACTTTCAAACCATAAACAACATCACCACAGAGCAGTTGACTTTCATTTCTTCTTCTGAATTTGTATGTTTTACCCTTAATTATTACAGTGTGAATTTACTTTGCACAAAAGAAGATGTAAATTAGCATAACTTCAACAAGTATTTACTTTGTCAGTTTTAGACACATAACTCAATTATTTGGTATTTTAAAAAAAAGTAATTGGCAGCATTTACTGTGGAATCATCATTGTTCTTGGAGGAGGATAGGTGGGTCAAACATATCCACTAATTTATATTCCCACAAATACTTATTTTTTCAACTTGTCAATTCATTGAATCTTTAACTTAATGTATTTTAAAGTTAACCTTATGAATTATATCTGCACAAACCAGTTGAATTAAATGCCTGCCCACTAACAGCTGATTAATCCCCCCCCCCCCCACAATAAAATGATTCCACAGTTTTTCATTTTTCAAAAACTATAGAAGGCCATATACATGTATCTGCAGGTACTTTGGGTGGTTTAATCATCTTTGCTTGTGCTGGTCTGTCTGATGCCTTCATCAGCTAGCTATTCTGTATCCTACAATTAAATTCTTGTTTCCAAATAAAACAGCTGTAAAATGTTTTGTATTATTTATGCTTATTTAATTTTGTCTATAGTTTTTAATTATTTTTTTTTTCTTAATGTTTGGAAAAAATAATATGAGAGGGATTCGACAAGAATTTATATTTCCTGCAAATATACATTTTTTTTTTTAAAAAGTGTGTGTTATATATCAGGGACCTATATACTTTATAGTTAGTAGAGATCCCTGGTTATATTTTAAAAGTTTATATTCATGCAAAATCTACAGACATAATAAAAAAAATAATAAAATGTATTCCATGAGTACATGTTTGAGTGTGTCCTTGATCTTTGGTATTCTGGCATTTATTAATGGAAAGACTTGATATAAAATGTTTAAAATCTCAGGGCCCGGATTTACCTAATACCGATACAGGAAGTTTTCGAAGGGCAAGGTCAAAATCCTCTGGTGACGTAGTTTGATGCAGACTACAAGTCTTGTTTTGCACAAAGATTCAAAAAGTATTAACAAAGGTGGATATATGGTGTGATAAGTGTTATAAGTATATAAATCCAGGAAGTGCATTTACGGGACATGTATAGAAGTGACAAGATGTTTAATCGTGTTTACATTGAACTATATATGTGTTTGGGATTTACTCAATGCAAGGTAAAGTTGTAGATTTTGTTTACATTTACACTCTATAGAACGTATTCGCTTACATGTTTTGGCAAAGCAGTCATGGCACTCTTCATTGGTTGATATTTTGCAGCCTCGAATGTTTTTAACATTCAAACTTACGAATCCTTGAGTATATGAATTCAAATGGGTCGCAGTGTTTAGCTCTTTTAAACTTCTTCTGTCAATTGATATGCAAATGATGTATGCTTAAAACTCCGTATTTTATCACTAATTTTAAAATACACGTGTATTAGGTGCTTGGTAAGTCTCGGGCGGTATGCTTTTCCGGACGTCCGTAAGTGCAGAGAATTTCCGAAAGTGTGTTACGTCATTACGTCAATGACGGTAAAGTACGGAAATCCACGAATAATGATGGATCCCCTTCCGAAGTGACGGCCATTTTGGCAATGTTAAATCCCCGTAGACTTTGAATTTGCCGCCGTGTCAATACACCGGTTGAACTCGAGGGTTCGGATAAATGGAGGAAAATTGGAAAAAAAATGATCTATCGGTCGGACCTAGGCTGAAGGCCAAGGTATTTATATATTTTGAGATATGTTGCAAAAAGTGGTGACAATAGCTTGGTGGGACAGACTATAAATACTTGTTCAAAACTTTTATAATTATTTTTTTTTCATGTTTTTACTATCGAACTGTAGTATCAGGTAAATCCAACCCTTAGAAATTATGATGTACATCAGTATAATAAAACGCTTATCCACTGGCTGTGAGTGGGATAGCTCTTTCATCAAACCCTTGACAGGAACTATTTCCCTCGGGCAAGCCCTCGGGGAATAGTTCCTGTCGCGGGTTTGATAAAAGAGCTATCCCACTCACAGCCAGTGGATAAGTGTATACTATCGCTTACACGTTATAATACAGGCCCCTCCTAATGAAACTACGGTACGCCTCTCCTTGGTAAATAGCAATCTACAACACTGAAAAAAGAGGAAGCAACTCAGCAATTAAAGGCTTTTTTTGGTTGAATACAATGAAAATGTTTACCCATTTATATTCATTTATTTTTCACACAATTTATTATTTTTCGCATAAAAAGGAGTAATAGAGGGATGGGGGCACAATCATAGTGAAGTAGTTCCCTTATCGCCATGACAGAATGTATGCGACATGCACCGCGTGTAGTTGCATGAAAGTTCACTTTCATTAACTAGGCAAAAAATATTTGGAATAATTATTCCTTGCACACTGCACATTCCATATGAGTCTAAAAAATAATGACTTTTTAACGACATGTGACCTTGTTACCCTTTTAATAGCATTTCCTTTAACACGCCTTGAAAGGATGTCGAAGAAATTACGACTTACAATGTACATAATTACATAGAAACTGAAAATAAAAATCAAAAGCTATTTATGAAGGCATAGAAATAGAACACATAAAAAAGCACGTGTCCCCTCTCTCTAATTGATGTCTCTTTCATTATAACTTAAAATAATAAGTTTTATTGAGTTTAAACTTGAAGTTTTTTTTTTTTTTTTTGCGGGGGGGGGGGGGGGGTTCCACCGATGTACATTGTAAATGTTTCTCTAGTAGTACCCATCCTACGTTGGAAAAAAAAATCTGAAAATAATTTTAAATGCAATGATGAATCAAATTAAAATTTAAGCACACACCAATCTAACAATTGAAAGCCTTATTAGGTAACAAAACAAGAGGCCCATGGGCCACAACGGTTACCTGAGTAACTGTATGCCCTTCTGTTCTCTTTTTCCGATATATATTTATGCAAAACTTTGATCACATATTATGGCTCCATCCTACCCCATGGGGTCATAATTTGAACAAACTTCAGTCTACACTACCCGAGGAGACTCCAGTATAAACATGACTAATCGTGGTTCTGTTATTCCTGGAGACTTCTCATATATATATTCCTGTGTAAAATCTGTTCCCTTGTTGTGGCTCCGCCCTACCCCCCAGTGGTAATGATATTGAACAAATTTTAATCTACAGTATGTCATCAAGCTTTCACATAAGTTTCATTTTTTTTTTTTTTTTGTAGCAGTGGTTTTTGAGAAGAAGATTTTTTAAAGAAGCCACCTATTTTTCACGAAGTCTTAATTATCTCCCTTGAAAGAGGGCGTGGCAATTCCTGTGAACAAATTTAAATCCCCCTCATCCATTGATGCTCTGTGGCAAGTTTGCTTGAAATTGGTCCGATGGTTCTGGAGAATAAGTCGAAAATGTGAAAAGTTTACAGACAACATACAACATACAGACAGATGGACGCCGGACCCTTCAGCTCAGCTGAGATTAAAAAATCACAAAAAAATTGCCTCAAAATGTAACTTCTATAAGTGAGAGAGTCTAAAACGGAATGAACTTTCAATGAAAAGCATAAAAGGCTAGCTGTGCAATTTCATCATTTTCCACATTTCAGATAAGCGTCTGAGGCAAGACTGATATAGTGTGTATCCCTATCTAATGCAGTGTAAAAGAGCCATCGAGATTCAGGACTAAGAATTACTTGAAAATGTTTCTACTCCTAAAATAATATGTTTGACTCAGTATCCAAAGCATGACCTGCAGAACGTATTTCTGGAGGCATCATCCATGTAAAGAAAATGTTTGATACTTCCAACGCATAACACTAGAACTGCAATTCTGGAGTCATCCTCCACACAAGTACGAGTAAAAGGCTACTCTGGTGTGGTCCTCCTCCATATCCTTTAACCCGGGGTTCCAGGAGCAACATAAGTTGTTAGCAGAAGCTCCCTCTAAAGCTAAGCACTACGTATAATTGATTTAAAAAAGAGAGGAAGTTGTAACTTTTTCCAAACTTTAATTTCTCAGTATTTTATATACAGTTTCTCAGATACTTTCGCGGTCAGGTGGAGGCTGATTTCGAAGTCTTCGTCTAGTTCTTTGTCTGAAACAAATAAAATTTGAAAATGAATTTTAAGAATTAGAGATTGTGACTAAAATCTCCTTTACGACAAACAAAATACTTTTTTCATGTACTTTATTTTCAGGGTATCGACACAAAAAATAGCATTTTTTCTGTATTTGCTTGAGACCCAAGAAAATGTCAACAATATTGAATATAAGAAAGCTATCACACTAAGATAACATAGTTACATTGGGTTGAAGGGATGTTTTGTAGTATAGAAGATGTTGGCCAGTTCTGACACCGTGGGCCCTGTCGGTCTGTGTCTCAGTTTGTAGTCCTTTATATACTGAAGCTTCAATGGCGAATCGCCCTGAAAGCAGAAAATATCAACACTTGTTAAAGATCGTACGACAGAAAGAATTACATATTTGTCCTTGTTTGTTTTTCTTCATGTTTTATCTTTTGTTTTTTATGTTTGTTGTGTTGATTTTTTTTTTGGAAAGGGGGGGGGGGGGGAGCGGTGATGTGAGCATGTTACTTTAATTAATTGCACAAACAGAAAGTAGCATTATCAAGAACAGAAAATTAATTCAAAACATGAAATTCCTTAAAACAGACAAAGAGAACAAATACTGAATGACGTAACCATCCTGCATTTATCACATCTTTTTCCGGACACACCTATAAGCAACTGAAATATACATTCATCATGACAGTACTACGGGGTTTTTTTTCTTCGTTCCTTACCTGTGACATGTCTTCTGTGTCTCGAGGCATTGGCTGCAAAATTTATGAAGAATAATTTTAATTTGTATTTTTTTTTTAATATTAGATTGCAAAATATTAGACTTTGTCTAGTGTTGCAAAAGATGCGCACTGAAGACGTTACATAAAATCTACGTATAAAATTGCGAGAGCGAATCAAAAAAAATTGTTTTAAGGGGGACCGACCCTCTGATAAGAGAAATAACTTTCCATGTAGATATTCCTAATATTACTCATCGTTTTCTTCACCAGAGATTAATAATTGAGACGTTTGAGTAGTCAATCAATCAAATCTGACATATGGTGGAAACATTAACTTCTTTTTATTTCCTTTCGCCTATACTTTTCGAATGGTTTTGTTATATTTGACCAAAAAAAAAAATTAAATCCCGATTTCAATCCCTTACAAATTGAATAAGTTCTTCCTTTTAATGGACCAATTTAAAAATGCTTTAATGTATCAAGTACCATATGTAGAATTATTATCAGTATCAGGGACTTATATACTATGTAGTATATAGGTCCCCGTTGGTATTACATTTTTTTTTTTCAATTGAAAAAAAATATTTATAAGAAGGATAACTCTAGCTAATGGACGTATTCTTTTCTCACAAGCACATATAACATTGTGTTAATCTGACTTTGGAAGCAGCGCTTTAGTATGTTTTCTAGTATGTTTTTAATAGGTAGGACTTTAAATATTATTTTCATATACACCTAAAATTTTTAATTTTATGTTCATGAATATCAATGTTGGGAAGTTTAAAAAAATGTGAAATTTAGAGCAGAGGGTCATTAGTCCTTAATGTTAATGAAAAGTAAGGGTTGAATACCTTTGAACATTCATATGGAAATTTCGGTTCCGGGTGCCAGAAAATAATTATAGATTCGTCCGAGCTTAGAGTCACCGACGGCTTGTTACTACAAAGATAGTCACATATACATGTACTGTATCAAAATTCTGTCACATTTTATATGCCCGGGTACTTTAATTAAAAAAAAAAATCCCATGTCACGTACCCTTGAAATGTATCATCTTCTTTACTGGCCTCACTGTTTTTGCTCTTCAATCGTTTTTGTACCATTCCTATAGAAATAAATGTTTTGAGAGTGAATTATTGTCTAAATGGTAAAAATCGTAATAAATTGCCATATTTGAAAAATGAGTATGCTGTGAAGGTGGGGGGTGGGGGGCACCAGTTATACATGCATAAGATTTCTATTTCCCGAGATTGATCCTCCGACATCCCATTGGGTGATCCTATTACAATTGAACAGGTAATATCGGATATTTACTTATTCCATAAAATTCCCATAAATCAAGTTTGAAAACATTACAAAATATATATTTTACATTAACTTAAGATTTCCTTAACATATATAAGATTTCTATTTCCCGACATTATTCCAAAAAAACATAAAATATTAAAGTTAAAAAGCCAATTATACTAGACTTTTACAAAATGCCACAAGAAAAAACATGTACATACATACACTTTGCATGTAAAATGGACATGCTTTTTAAAAAAAAAAAATGCATGAAATGTTAATGTTTTCGGAGTATATTTTTTTGCATGTATAACAAGAATTCACAGATTCTTAAATTTAAACATATATGAAAAGATTAAGAATGTCGTAATTTTCAAAATTAAAGAATGAAATATTCATTTTATTGAAATAACTACGATGACTTGAATGAAACGAATATCAAAAACGTAATTGAATTTCATTTTCCCGCGGGTTAATTTTTTTTTAAGTCATCATCACAGGATTTTGTCTGCTCATCATTTTCGCTGTAATATCCCCCTTTTGCTTTTATCTCCATACAACAAAAACATACGTTTGTTTCATGTTGTTGTAAGGACACGCGCTCTGGGCGGGAAAATTAGCTACCCTACTCCCGTCGGTGCTTTGATCCTCAGACACCCCATTGGGTGATCCTATTACAATTAAAGAGGTAAAATCAAATATTTACTTATTCCAATAAATTCCCATAAATCAAGTTTGAAAAACTAAAAAATAACATATATTGCATTAACTGTCTAATGACAACATTTCTTGGAATATGTTTTCTTTGGGAATAATTTGAAAACTCTGAAATTTTAAAACCGAGCCGAAAGACGACGATCAAAAGTTTGAGTAAGTGCACCCCCTGAAGATGGAATAGGCCCATTGTAATATAAAGGTTTAATTTTTGAAATAATTTTTTTACTGAAAAATTCTTCAGAAAGTTTCAACATGGAATACCAGTTATACCATGACTACTTCAATCTTGCCAGCCAGATTGTCAAAAGTAAGTTAATTTCTTTTCTTTGCCAAATTTGCCCCCCCCCCCCCCCATTTTTTAGTAGAACTTTAGCATTTACATTGATACTTAACATTTCCCTTTAAATATAAAATATATGGTTTTATGTATTATATGATAGTTAAGTCCCCTTTTTATATACAATGTACACTCCAATCACTGTTAAAACATGAAAAAAGTTTCTTGCTTCATTTTTTAAAGATTAAGTATAGAAATTAAAAACTCTTCTGCTCCACTAAATAATTTGAAATCCACATTAAATTTCGTTATATATTTTTTTTTAAATTGTCAAGCCCCCTGTAAATATACATAGTACACTAAATGAAAAAAGTTTCATGCTTCATTTTTTTTTTTACTTAAGTGTGGAAATTATAAGCTTCTGTTCCATTAAATAATTTGAAATCTACATAAAACAGGTATAATTAATGACATGTTTGTTTGTTGTTTTTTTTTTTTTAACTGTAAAAACCATTCAATTCCTCTTTTGTCTAATGTTAATAATTAATTGTTATCCAAAATTAACCGAGAAAAAAAAAGAATATGTACAACCTTGGGCAAATGAGACAAATATAACATCCTTGTAATCATTATAAAATAAATAACATATTTAACTCTAACAGCCACCACCCATTAAAGAAAAATAAAAATTAAGAAAAAAATAAATAAAAAAATAAATAAATAAAAACATAAAAAAAACTATATTGTATTATGCACTCTTTATCAATTCATCAATGGAAGTAATTATGTTATTTTCATAATGTCAATAGTTTGATCCCAATTCATTCCCTAGATTTTTCAAATAGAATGTGCATATATATATCCAATCATTATGAAAATACCAGGTGTACATGATTTTTCTATGGTGAATAAGATGTGTATAAATTTTCAGACAAATCTATGCAGTAGTTTCTAAGAACATGTCTATAGACAAAATCATATCTATATACAGAGAGATAGACATGCTGATTCCAATATACCCCCACCCAATCTTTGTTTGCAGGGGTTAAAACAAATATTGCACATGGGTAACCTCAATTTTTTTTTTATGGGATTTTTATATATACAGTGTACTATAAATTCCTTCATACATGTACATGTGAAGAATTAATAATCAGTATTTTCATTATTGGCATCGCTCATGAAACAAAATTACTTGCTTTTATTAGCTCACCTGAGCCAAAGGCTCAAGTGAGCTTTTACTAGCTCACCTGAGCTGAAAGCTCAAGTGAGCTTTTCTGATCACATTTTTCTGTCGTCCGTTTGTCTGTCTGTCTGTAAACTTTTCACATTTTCAACAACAAAGCTACAATTAGCCATACTGATGTGGAATCATCCCCAGGTAGTGTGGATTCAAATTTGTTCAAATCATGACCCCGGGGGTAGGTGCAGCCACAATGGGGGATCAAAGTTTTACATAGAAATATATTTAAAAAAACTTTTAAAATCTTCTCAAGAACAACAAAGCCACAATTAGTCATATTGATATGGAATCATCCTCAGGAAGTGTAGATTCAAATTTTCAAATCATGACCCTCGTGGGTAGGGTGGGGCCACAATGGGGGATCAAAGTTTTACAAAAGAACATATACAGGACATATATAGGAAATATCTTTAAAAATCTTCTTCTCAAGAACAACAAAGTCATGATTAGTCATATTGATAGGGAAGCATTCTCAGGTAGTGTAGATTTAAGTTTGTTCAAATCATGACACCCCCCCCCCCCCTTCCTAGTAGTGTGGTAGACATCTTTAAAATTCCTTTTTCAAGAACAGCAAAAAGCCATGATTAGTTATATGAATAAAGAAACATCCTCAGAAAGTTTAGATTCAATTTCATTCAAAACATGGCTCCTGGGGGTAGGGTATGCCTAGAAATGGCAATCAAAGCTTTACATAAGAATATATAGGAGAAGAAATCTCCTGTTGAAGAACAGCATGGCCTATTGAATCAGGTGAGCGTTGTGGCCCATAGGCCTCTTGTTTGTCATTATTGTCATTGTTGTTTTCACTTTTTGACCACTGGGTCATTTCAACCAAACTTGCCACAAAGCATCCTTGATTCAAGAAGGTCCAATTTTGTTCAACTGATGAGTCATGCCCCTTTCACGGGGACATAATAAAGAATAAGTGAAAATTTAAATGGTATCTTTTAAAAATCAAGGCCAGTAAAGATGAGTCTTAAAAAAAAAGCTACATTGCATACTGTAGATTCAAGTTTCTTCAAATAATGACCCTCACGCTAGGCTGGGGCCACAGTATTAAACAAAGTTTTACAAAGGAATATATAGGAGTTAATCTTTAAAAATCTTCTTCACAAGCTAGAGCAATAAAGACCTGAGTAGACATATTAATACCGAAGCATCCTTAAGTAGTGTAGTTCAAAAGTTTATTCAAATCATGACTTGTGGGCATAGGGTGGGGATACAATAGTCAATCAACATTTTACATAAGAATATATATTAATTTTAAATTTTTAAAATAAATCTTCTTCTTAATAATGGTATAAAGTCCTGATTTAAGCACATTAATACTGAAGTGCAGATTTTCATGGCCCCCAGGGGTAGGAAATTGGGGCCACAATATGCAAATTTTTATGAAGGAATATTTGAAAGTCTTCTTTTTGTTTCAAGAACAGCAAAGCCATGATAAGTCATATTGATATGAAAGCATCTTCAGGTTGTGTTGATTCGAATTTAACCTCCAATTATAAGGTGGGGCCACAAAAAGCAATCAAAGTTTTACATAAGAACATATAAGAATCTTTAAAAATCTTCTTTCAAGAACATTACAGCCCTGATTAGTCATGTTAATATGGAATCCTCTGGTACTGTAGATTAAGTTTGTTCAAAACATGACCCCAGGGGTAGGGCGGGTCCACAACAGGCAATCAAATTTTTACATATTAAGAATATATATTGGGAAAAAAATTGCTGATGAAGAACAGCAGGGCCATAGTGATTCCAGGTGAGCATATTGCCACAATAAAAAATTGTCAAAAATATATACAAGAACTTATGCTTTACACGTTTTGCACTTATATAAACAGAGACTATGACGTAGTTAAACAGAGTCATGTGACCATGTGTCCTTCATCCCCTTAAGCGATCCAAATTAAGGCCTGTGTGAAAAACATGTAAAAATCTAGATCACAGTTCACTTGCGAAGTTCATGTTCTTTTGATTTTGACAGATAGGAGACATTTTAAGATATCAAGTACTCGCATAAAATAATAAAACCTACAGTATACAACACAATTTTTTATACTGTCCCTGACCTCAATGTAAGTAGCTTTCTAAAACATAAATGACAATATGACATTTGCAGCCAAAAGGTTGCAGACACTGTTACATTTCATTTGGTTTACCAGAGTCAAAGGCTGATGTGAACTTTTCTGATCTAAGTTTGTTTATCAGCCATCTGTCCAGCAGTTAGTCAAGAAAATTATGAAAATGTAGCAACATAATATTTTTAGCTCATTTTAGCTCTGACAAGTAAGCTACTCTGATCACATTTTGTCTGGTGTTCATCTGTCCGTAAACTTTGACTTTTTCTCAAGAACCACTTGGCCAGTTTCAACCAAATTTGCCACAAAGCATCTTTTGGTAAAGGGAATTCAAATTTGAGCAAATGAAGGTTCATGCCCTATTTCAAGTGGAGATAATTAAGAATGATTGATAATTTGGTGGTATATTTTGAAAATATTTCTCAAGAACAAGACTTGCCAGAAATGATGAAACATATCTGAACGCTTCCTTGCATAGTGTATATTCAAGATTGTTCAAATTATAACCCCCTGGTTTAGGGTGGGTTCACAATAGAAGACCCAAGTTTTACATGGAAATATAAAGGTAATATACTTCTCAATGATTGAACTAGTTCTAACTGTAATGGAGACCATTACAGATGTTTCCCAAATGCTTCCCTACTCCCTCTTTGTGCCCCATTTTCTGCAAGTTTCATTGAATAAGACAGATTCTTTGTATCACACACTTTGAACTTATTTTCCAAAGTATCTTAATAACAATGCACAAAAGGAATGTAAGCCAATCAAATTTTAGTGGACGTGCAAGCATGCGTTTTCAAAAATTAGGCCATTCCAAGTTTTTTTCTATGTTTAGTGTCCGCATGCACCTTGGTTTAAGACACCCAATATCAGAAAAAAACAAACAAAATCAGGAGTCCTGAAATTTATCATTTTGGTTGAAATCTTTGAAATCTGACAATTTCTCTAAATATTTGTGTTTAATATGTAATATTAGGTGCATTTTAAGCATTTCAAAATACCTACAGTTTGCTAAAGAATAGACATACATACCTTTCTACCAGAAAAAGATTCTTGAAATAAAATTTTTATGGCTTTTAAGCCTGTGTTTTATTTTTGGGCTTTGTGTTTTTTACCAATAAGTTGGTAGATATTTGAAAGATGGGTGGATGCTAAACAGAGAAAAAACTTGGAATGGCCTTACCAAATACAGCATCTCAAAGTATCTCATAATGTAGAGCTACATTTTAGATTTCGATGAATTTGCTGAAAACATAGAAAATTTCAGCAATTGCTGAAAACGTATAAAATTCTAGCAATCGGAATATTATCCAATTAGATGCGTGTCCTCATACTCATTTCTAATAATAGGGACTTGTAATATATTAACATCTACCCCAGTACTCTAAATTTTGTCTTGTTTCTTGAAAACTAAGAAAGTTATAGCCAATCACAATCTTAGACAATCACATATTAGATCACATACATGTTCTTAAAGTGTTTCACAATGTATACCTATGTCTTGCATATCAAAGTGATTCATTGAATAGTAATAGAGTTACAGCCAATAAAAGGTATTAGCCAATCAGAATTCAGCACATGCACATGCATGTCATTGTGTTCAATTGTGATAGTATCATAATGTAAGAAAATATTATAGCTATCTATATTTTAAATATCACCCTTTTTTGTTGAAAAATAAAGAAGTAATTAGCCCTTTGAAATAT